GCCCTCTCTGCTGGCTCCACCAGGTCCCCCAAACTGGCTGGGGCCCCCCACACAGAGTGGGACACCCCGTGGTGGAGCCCTGTTGCTGCTAAGAAATAGCCCTCAGCCCCTGCGGCGGGCAGCCTCAGGGGGCAGTGGCAGTGACAATGTGGGCCCCCCTGCTGCTGCAGTGCCTGGGCCTCTGAGCCGTAGCACCAGTGTTGCTTCCCACATCCTCAATGGCTCCTCCCACTTCTATTCCTGAAGTGCAGGGTGGATGAGCAGATGAATGGGACAGGGGCAGGGGTGGGTGGAGCCTGATCCTGGAGGGCTGTAAGCTTGAGGCCCACCCAGGGGTGGGGGACAGGATGTTGGCTCCAGCTCCCCTCAGACCTCCTCATCTCATGAGCTTCTTGGGCTGGCCAGTGGCCCAGGGCCAGCTTGGGCATCGGTGCCTCAAGGCTGACCAGGAGCCCCTGCCTCCCCACCATGGTGCCAGGGTCTCTCTCCATCACAGCCTCGGGAAAGGAGGGAGATGTGCGTGTCAAATATTCATCTGGTCCCCTGGGGGAGGGGAAGGGTGGGTCTAGATATATTATATTCAGAGAACTATACTACCCCGTGTAATGGGGCCGTGGACTGGGGATGCCAGGCCCCCCAGACCTGGGGTGTGGCAGAGCAGGTCTGGGGTTGGGGAGAACAGAAGGAAAAGGCCTTCCTAAGAAAGAAGGATCAGGATGGGGTCTTGGGGTCAGGTTGCCTGGTCTCTCTATCTCCCCCCCCCCCCCGTTGCTGTCTGACGTCCTGTGCCGTCTTGTCCTTTATCTTTTTTTTAAATTGAGATCAGAGCTGGGGCAGGGGAACAAGGGAAGGACCTTCGAAGGGGCTGCTCCCAGGCCTGGGGGCAGTCATGGGAGCCCCTCCCAGCTATGGGGTTGGCACAGAGCCCCACAGCAAGCTTTTAATAAACTGTTGGTTATTCTAACAGACCCCAGGACTCACCCTTTCTGTCCAAGGTGTGTATTAAGGACTGTTTGGCCGGAGGTGATAGTGTGACTTGTATTTAAAAAGGGAATTTATTGGGCTGTGTAACTAAAAATTTCAGTGATTTTAATGACTTTGGGCATGGCTGGATCCAGAGCTTTAAAGGAATTCATCAGTCTTTTGGCCTCTACTTCCCTTTGCTTTGGGCTTCAAAGATTTTCAGAAGGCTCACTTGTACACACAGGCTCCTGGCAGCTCCAAGCCTACATCTTAGCAGCAATCTCAACAGCAGGTATGCCAGCAAAGTCCTAAAGTGACTTCATTGGCTCAGTCTGTAGCCAGAGGCCTGAGGTACTCGGATTGGTCAGGTCTATGCCCCATACCCACCCCTTCAAGGCGAAAAGAATTGGCCCAAGGACTAAGTGGCTGTTTCTAGAAGGGGAGAAGGAAGACGTAAACACCAGCTGTCACCAAGTCACTTCATTATGTTTCTCACATTTTTCTTAAAGCCAGTTATTCAGACCCTCCTCCCAGCTAGGCATGTTAACACAGCTTAAAAGCAGGATGGTGAGGGCCCTGCTGGTCGGGCTGGAGGAAGCGGGGTAGGAGCCCCACTCTTTTTTGATATAGCCCGGTGGCAGACTGGATGGCAGGGTCTGGAGGCTGGGACTTCATTTGGAGAACCTGGGGGAAATAAAAGGGAACCAGACTGGGTGGGGACAGTGGCCACTCCTCACCTTCCTGGCCCAAAGTACAGGGAGTGAGGGTGGGGTCGGTTTTCTTTTTCTTAAGTTTTATTTAAGTAATCTCTTCGCCCCAAACTCAGCGACCCCAAGATGAAGAATCACGTACTTCTCCATCTGAGCCCGCCAGGTGCCCCAAGTGGGGACCAGTTTTGATGAGGTGATTCAAACAACTCCTTTATTGAGTCTTAAACGATAAACCCCTGTAAACACCTTAAACTGAGAACATGAGAAATAGGATCCCAACAACTTGTGTCCCTGGAGGTACAAAGTCTTCTCTGAAGAAAGCTGCTTCTGAAGCTCTGCAGGCACCGACTGGGATGGGGGCTGTGGGTGCTGGATCTGCTTTCTCCAAGTGGAAAGCCTCCTGGGGAAGGGGAGGAGCTCAGTTACTCTCTCCATCACTGCTGATGATGCCGCGCATATGTGACCAGTCTGGGGGCGGGGCACGGGGCTGCTCATCCTCTGAGCCCAAAGTCCGGCGGTATAGCTCCCCCGGGGCGTCTGCTTCTCCTGAAGGGTTCCAAGCTGTGCGTCTGCGTGGCCGGCCTGGATTGAGGGGCAGAAAAAGCAGGAGATCAGTTATCTGAGAAAATCCAAGCCCCGTCTCAGAGAGTGGGAGGAAACCCCTCACCTGAACCACTGATGATGTTGGTAAGGTCCAAGGAGGCCACCTCAGCCGCCTCCTCCCGCTGCTCCTTCAGGGCCCGGCACTTCTCTAAGGAAGGGTTACCTGGGGCAGAAGAGGCTGGTGATCCCCTCTTCCCCAGCCGCCCAGGCCCTCTCCTGCGGCCCCCAGGGCACATCCAGCCTCACCCTTCATGCCCAGGGCTTCCAGCTCTGCCCGGAGGACACTGAGGCGCTCCTTGTGTGAGCGGCAGGGGCCCAGCAGCTTCTTGTAGTTGCGATGGGCACCACAGGCCCGAATGTAACGCTTCAGCCTCATCACAGCTGGGTGGTCCTCACCACGGCGACCAGGGCCAGCCTGGCAAGGAAAGACAGCAGCTGAAGGCCAAACCTTCTGGACTTGAGTCAAGGTCTCCCTCTTCCTTAAAGGTGGCCTCCCACCCCATCGTCCCCCCTCATCACCTTCCTGCCTTTGGGTTCCGGACTGCCATCTGTGGACGAGGAGGAGGAGCTTCGCGTCCTGCCTTTCCTGGAGCTCTTCTTGAAAGAGTGGTTCTCCTTCTCCCCCTTAGGGCTACCCCCTGCCTCACGGTCACTCACCTCCCTCTCCGAGTCGCTCACCTCCCCACTGATACTGCCCACTCTGGCTGTCTTTCCAGTGCCTTCAGTAGTTGGTTTCACCTCTCCCCAGCTGTCTTCCCCATCTTCGCTGCTTCCACTCTGCCTTTTCCCACCCTTCCACGGGGTCCCGTCCTTCCTCTTCCTCCGCACCAGGGGCTCTTCGTCTCCGCCGCTCTTATCCCCACTGCCTGCTTTTTCCTTTTCTCCCTCTCTGTCCCCCGACTCTCCCAGCAGTCTTGCTGCCCTGCTTCTCTGCTCACAGCTCCTCTCCTCCCAAGCTGACTTGTTCCCTCCATTGCCCCGGGCTCCAGCTTTCCGATTCTCCCCCTCTTCCTCCCTGCTGTTTTTCTTTTTGGCCAGGGTGTCCTCCTCCTCCTCACTGTCCCTTTCACTTTCCTGGTGGCTTTTAGCTCCTTTCTTTCCCACTGCCTTCTTTCTTGTCCTCTGGATTGGTTCCTCCTCACTGTCCTCACCCTCCTCCCTGGCCTGCTTCCTACGAGCAGCGGTTTGGCCTGGTGCCTGCTTATCCCTTGTCACGGGTTCCTTCCTAACCCTGCCCTTAGACTCCTCCTCCTCTTCCTCCTCTTCCTCACTGCTCTCTTCCTTGGAGACCTTACTTGTTCTGGCAGAGCCCTCTTCCTCTTCCTCACTGCTCTCCTTGGCCGCCAGCTTCTCTAATCCAGTCCTTGCAGTCAGGCCCCTCTGCTGTTCTTCCTCATCATTGCTCTCCTCAACTGCTTTCTCTGAGGCTTGCTTTGGCCTCTCCCCCTCAGCTGGACTGACTTCTACTGTCGCCATCCCATTCTTTGCTTGGGGGCCAAAGCAGTCCGGACTGGAGGCTGCAGAGCTGGGCTCTGGAATGTGGAGAGAAAAGAAGGTCGGGATGGGTTCCTCCTGGCCCTTCTTCCCTCCACTTGGGGTTGGTTGCCTCTGACAGATGGAGGGAAGGGCAACAGGAAACACAGCTATCAGTCAGTCTACCCCGTGCCTGGTTCCTGCCTCACTGGCCTCGTGCCCGCATCTAATGCTTTGGGAGATCATGCACGCGCAGTAAATACTTTTTTGAATGCACCAACTATGCAGAAGCCACTAACCTGACTCCGAATTGAAACGGAACCTTTTCCTCACGGGGCCACTCATGGGGGTGGGAGGCCTCTTTGCCTTCTTGGCAAGATCTAGCCTCTCTTCCCTGGCACCTGCTTCATCCACCTGTGTGCGCGCGAGAGGGCAAAACGTGTACCGAGTTTGCGTTCCCTACCCCCTCCCAGGCCCCTCCTCCTCAGCAACAAACCCCGCCTCGCGCCACACCTGCACCTTCAGCAGCTCCTTCTCCACCAGTCGCTTCAGCGCTTGCTTCTCGTCGGGCTCCAGGTGGTCGCGGCCCGCGTGAGCCAAGAACCTCCGCCGCACGATGGAGTGCGTGAGCGTGCTGCGGAGACATGTGTCAAGACGGAGTCCCCGTCCCGCCCCTGCCCTTTCCAACCCCAACTCCAGCCTCTAGTGCACCTGAGGTCCGGGCGGCCTCGGAAGAAGCTACGGATGAACTCCTGCATCTCGTTCTCCCGCGCCATTTTGCTCCACCTGGGATTGGTGGCTCCCGCCTTTTTTTCTCTTCGGCCTCCGTCACCGCGTTTGACAGGAGCTTGCGCACTCGCCGGGTCGTGGCGCCGTGGGAGGAGGGACCGTTGGGGGTTGGTCGCGGATCGTCTGGACCGAGAACTTTGCCAGACAAAGCTGCCTGCCTCAGGTAGTTGGAGGGGTTCGCGGCTCCTACCTTTTCTTCGCGTCAATCGTTTTTTTAAAAAATTCTCGTTAGAAACCGACTCGACGCCGGCAGCCTTCGGGTAACGTAATCAACCCGCGACACTGCCTCCGTCCGTGGTCACGGGCACTAGCTAGGCCGCAGTGATTTCGAAAGACAGATAAAAAAGGATATCCTCGCCTGAAGACTAGGAATCCCTGGGGGGAAAGTCTTGGGGCTTGCGATTATCCAGAATCCACAAAGGTACCTCCGGCGTCCGCCATCTTTATGACATCATCGCGTCGCTGCGACGCCATCTTCAGCGTAGCCCCTGAAAGCTACGTTCTTTTCCCGGTGCGCCTAAGAAGGCAACCCTTGCGGTTAAGAGGCTTGGGCGCGGGGTACGCTGGGAGTTGTAGTCCCGGCGGACACAGACTTACGGAGTCTCCGGAAGCGGAGGCGTGAGAGGCGGGGCTGTGCGCAGGCTCTGGGTAGCGGGACGCCTGACACCTGCGGGGCATTGCTCCTGGGGCGGGTCATGAACGGGCCGGCCGACGGCGAAGTGGACTACAAGAAGAAATACCGGAACCTGAAGCGGAAGCTCAAGTTCCTCATCTACGTGAGTGCTGGGGTGAGAGGTTTGTGGGGGTTGAGGCCTGGCGCTGGTAGGACCTCAGTTTACCCACGTGTAAAGGGAGCGGAGTCAGCTGTCGCCGGGTTCCGGGCCCCTTTACGGATGGCCGTTGGCTCAGCGTCCACCTTGCTTGTGATACAGGAACACGAGTGCTTCCAGGAGGAGCTGAGGAAGGCGCAGAGGAAGTTGCTGAAGGTGTCCCGGGATAAGAGGTGGGACACGGTGGGGGGAAGGGGGAATGTCTGCGGGTGATGTGGCTTCTGTGGATCTACATTCGGACCCCGTCCTTGGAATTGGGCCACAGATGCATGGCGCCTGGCTTGAGGCTGTTGCGGGGACCCCTTGACCAGCTAGAGGGGACAGGGTCCAGAAGAACGTTGCTGAGATGGGAATAAACACTCTTGTTCTCCCCCACCTCTTCCTTTAGTTTCCTCCTAGACCGACTTCTGCAGTACGAGAACGTGGATGAAGATTCTTCTGGTGAGCAAGGTCATGAAAAATTAGTGGAGGAAGTGGCTCCTGGCACTTCGGCAAGCTTCCTGGGCCCCTCATTATAGGCTGCGGAGGCTGATAAAACCTCCAGTGGTTCTTAAATCTGTTGCTTGCCCTTCACCTCCACCATTCTTTCACTCGAGTATTTATTGCTTTGCACAGGGGATACAGTGGAATTTGCGTTCTGGCTGGGGGTAACAGGAAAACAAAGAAACTAGGATCTTAGATTTGAAAGGAATAAAATCAGGGTTGCATGGTAGTGATCGGACTAGAGCAGGGGTTGGTAAACGTTTTCTGTAAAGGGCCAGATAAAACATATTTCAGGCTTTGCAGAACTGTTGCAACTACCCAGTTCTGCTGTTGTAGCGCAAAAGTAGCCACAGGTAATATGTAAATAAGTGAGCATGGATGTGTTTCAATAAAACTTTATTTATGGACACTGAAACTTGAATTTCATGTGATTTTCACATGTCATAAGTGGTATTTTTCCTTTGAGTCCACCCTCGCCCCACATTTAAAAACGTAAAAGCCGTTCTTAGTTTGCAAACGACGCAAAAGCAGATGACAGACAGCGTCAGTAGAGCACTCCGGAAAAGCGTTTCTCGGGAAGGAATGTTTGAGCTGGGACCTAGCTAAGAAGCAGAAACCAATTTTGTGCAGATACAAGTGAGAGATTTCCAGGCAGAGGGAACAGCCAGTGCAGATGCCCTGAGGTGAGAAGGGACCAGAGCAGAAGGGCTGAAGCGGTATTTCCAAACTTTGCTTTGAGCACTCCTTATCATGTCAGACTAAGGCCCCGCGGACATACTTGCTTATAAGACCACAAGATGAAACAGCGTCAAGGTCATCGTATATAATTTGTTCTGGTGGTTTTTAGACTGGTTTTTTCTTTTTCTTTTTTTTTTTTTTAAGATTTTATTTATTTATTTGACAGAGAGAGACACAGCGAGAGACAGAGCACAAGCAGGGGGAGTGGGAGAGGGAGAAGCAGGCTTCCCGCCGAGCAGGGGGCCCGATGCGGGGCTTGATCCCAGGACCCGGGGATCATGACCTGAGCCGAAGGCAGACGCTTAATGACTGAGCCACCCCGACGCCCCTAGACTGCTTTTTTCTTTACTGTTTTGTTGTTTGTTTTTTTTTAAACTTAATGCTGGTTGCAAATCACTAAGTTGACTTCATGACCCACTAATAGGGTGAGACCCACAGTTTGAAAAAGTGCTAAGGTGGGCATTTGTGGTCCTATTCCAGCGTGGGGTCCTTATAACCTATGACATATATGATCAGCTTTCCCCATGGTGCTTTTTAAACACTGGTCTGGAGTGGGGTCAGCAGACGACAGCCAGCCAGGCTACTTGTTTTCATAAATAGTGTTTTATTGGAACACACAATGGTCATTCCTTTATGTATGATGGGTTGGTAGGTGATGGATGAGGTCAGAGAAATAGGCAGGAGCCAGCTCATATGGGTCAAGGCAAACCGTTTGGCTTTTCGTCCTGCTGCTCATTGCCTGCCTGTTCCTTCCCTGAGGTCTTCCAGGTAACTTCCTGTTTGAGGGGCACTTCAGGACAGGAGCCATGAGAAAAAACAGTATGTTCATGGTCAGAGTGAGATAAATCTTGAGGAGGGAGAACCAGAGACGTAAGCCGCCACTCGTATCCTGGAAAAGCCCACCGTCTGGTCAGGGAGACACCCACACATGACACATCTTAGCACAACGAGAGGCAAGCCCTGACAAGTGAGAGTGGAGAGTTTTGGGGAAAGCCAGCAATTAACTGAGCCTGAGGGATTCTGGAAGACTTCTCAGAGAGGCAGTGTTTAATTTTGCTTCTTAAAGGATCTGAGCAGAGAAACTGGGGACAGCGTACATCCCGGGTATCAGTTATTGTTAAATGAGCTATGGGCCTTCTAAGTAGAAGTGCAGAACTGGGAGATAAATTTCTTTCTAGAGGAAATGATGTGACGGAAGAGTATGGTTCGGTCAGGAGACCAGAAAGGTAGGTTGAGACCAGATTAAGAAGCACTCCAGACGTTTGCAGGCAGGAGGCGATGTCACCAGGAAGGCTGGGATCAGCTTTCCAGATAGATCATTCTGGAGCTGGCGTGGACAGTGGGTAGCAGGAGAGGTGAGCCGGCGATGTTGATGTGGCGGTCTGAGGTGGTGGTCGTTGGGGTGGGGAGCAGTGGCTAAAGACAGGGGAGATGTGAAGGGTAGCTTAGCAGGACCCTGGACCTGGGGAGTGGAACAGAGGCAGGAGCTGAAGGCAGCTTAAGAGTGGCAGAAGAGAGTGCATGAGCAGAGATGGGGGGTTCTAGTTCCAGCTGCACACTTTACTCTCTCAGCCTCGGTGACCTCATCTGGAAGGAGGACATGATGCCCTCACCTTCCTCCTTGGGTGGTTATGAGTACAGGGAGCGGGGGTGAACTTTTCAGAGCCTAGCACGCAGTTAAGTGCTTGACAGTTGTGTTATGAGGGAGGAGTCCAGGCAGGAAGTCAGTTGTAAAGGACATTTTAGGAAGCTGTGGGCCTCTCCTGAAGAGCGCCTATGTGCCAAATGGGGAGTCAGATTCCCTGGGGCCCTTCCATAGAGTTGAGATTGCACCTCTCTGGGGTAGGCTGGAGCCCCCCACCCTCCCTCTGACCAGTCCTCCCCCCTCACAGACTCAGATGCCACTGCATCTTCAGATAACAGCGAGACAGAGGGAACACCCAAGCTGTCGGACACGCCAGCCCCCAAGAGGTGGGAAGAAGCCATTGTTCTTCTCTGGGGGTGGGGGTGGGTGGGTGGGGGCACCTGGGCCTCCTAGCTGCCTCTGACAACCTCCCCCCCCCCCGTACTTTCTCCAGGAAGAGAAGCCCTCCGCTGGGGGGCGCCCCCTCCCCCTCCAGCCTCTCCCTGCCTCCTTCAACGGGGTTTCCCCTTCAGGCCTCCACGGCCCCCTCCCCGTACCTGAGCTCGGTGAGTTGTCGTCAAGGGTGGGAAGCGGTAGCTGAGCCGCCTGGGAGTAAGGTGGGCATTGTTGGGCAGACGGGCCTCAGGGGGAGGCCGGCCCAACTCTGGGGACATCTGTCTGGGTGTGGCAGCAAGCGTCCGTTGGAGGGGTGTGAGTCGGGGCTGCCCACTTCTCTCTGGTGTAGGAATGGGGGACAGGCGTGACTGAGGAGAGCAGAGCTCAGGACGCAGTCCTGCTGCTGTCCCCTCCCCTTCTGTTCTCAGGAGCCACACTCATCACCACCTCTTGTTTTTCCATTCCTCCTCCTGTTTGCGTTTCTTCCCTCCCCCCTCAACCCCATCCACTCCATTTCCCATCTCCATCCCCTCACTCCTGCCTGCAGCTGGCTTCCCCTCCCTACCCCCCATTCCCTTCTGACTACCTGGCCCTGCAGCTGCCCGAGCCCAGCCCCCTGAGGCCCAAGCGGGAGAAACGGCCCCGCCTGCCCCGGAAACTCAAGGTACCCTGATTGGGGGATGTTAGGGAGGGGCCAGAACGGCAGGAGGACCGCCATCTGAGGGAGGCTCCAGACGGGCTGGGGCCTGTCCGAGAACTTCCAAGGATTGATTTGGGGCTGCTGGGGGCCCAGCCTAGGGCTAGGAGCTGAGGGGTGGGTCAGAGATGTCCTGGCCCACAGGCTTGATGTGGAGAACAATGAGGGCAGGACCACCCTTGGGGCCCGCAAAGCTAAGACTCTGGGGGGCCAGGCTCATTGTTCACAGGTGGCCTGTGACGCCGGGCAGCCCCAGCGGACAGGCAGAGTTGTGGGACCTGGAGTGGAGTCAAGATTCCACCAGTTAAAAACCGTGTGACGTAGAACAGGTCTCTTTGGCTGTCTAGGCCTCCTCTTCTGCATCTGTAAGTGAGTGATCAAACCACATGTAGCGAACGAGTGTTTCTGGAGCACCTGCTGTGTACCAGGCACTGTTCTAGGTGCTGCAGATGCAGTAGCGAACAAAACACAAAAATCCCCACCTTCACGAACCTCCCATTCTAGCAAGAGAGGTGGAAGACAGACAAGAAAAGGAGGTGCCAGCGCTGAGAAATGGGGCCAGGTAGAGGGTGGGAAGCCCCAGAGTAGAGAGGGGCCGGTATTTTTGGGTGGGTGGTCTGGGACATTATTTGGTCAGAGGCTTAAAAGAAATGAGAAGCGAGCATGTGACTCTCTGAACAGGTGTTTCAGAGAGAGCAAGCAGTGCAGAGGCCCCCAGGAGTGCGTGTGTCCACCTGTTCACGGACCAGGAAGGAGGCCAGTGTGGTCAGAGGCAAGGGAGGGGTGGGGGGGTGGTAAGCAGGTGAGAGAAATAACCAGGGGGCAGGATGGTGGAGCGCCCTCTCGGTGTCACAGAGGCTTCGCTTGTACCGTGAATGAAATGGGGAGCCGTTGCAGGAGGTCAGGCAGAGGGGAATCTGCTCTGCTTTATGGAACTCACAGCTGTGTGGAGAACGGACCGGGGAGGCACTAGGTGGGGATGCAAGTGGAGAGACCCCCCCCAAGCAGGCTCCTGCAGTAAAGCAGGTAGAGCGCCAAAAAGTGGCTGATGCATCAATTTCGAAGATGGAGCCATGGGAAGACCAGCGTGGGCTGTGGGAAAGAGCAGAGCCCAGGGGCGGCTCCAGGATTTGGGGCCCGAGCAACTGAAGAAGAGGGGTAGCCTCCCTCTGAGCCCGGGAGGTCCGGGAGGAGCAGCTGTGGGAGGGAAGACGAGTTGGGACATGCTGAATGCTGTCAGGAAAGGCCAGCGAGATCCAGGAGGCCGCAAGCCTGGGGCTCGTGGGGTGCACTGAAGTCCTCAGCGTGGAGGCGGGTGTGATTGTTGGGGGAGAACGTGGCTGGAGAGGAGGGGAGAGAGGCCTGCGCGCTGAGCCCTAGGAGAGAGTAGGGCCCAGGAGGTACAGTGCCCTTCCAGCTCCGAGTCAGAGTGGAACTGGGACTAGATACGAAGCTTTCACGGCGGGTAGACGGGAGCCAGAGGCAAAATGGGAGGTCACGTTTGGGGTGGTTAGGAGTGCTGGTTCGGGGTTCAAATCCCAGCTCTGCTGCTTAGCCTCCATGTGACCTCGGCCCCCGCACTCTCCTTGGCAGGCTTTTGCTTCTGGCCTGTAGGGCGGGATGGTGCGCAAGGCCAGGGGCGGGGAAGCCTGGAGCCGATGGGTGGAGGCGTGGCACGCGTGTGGCATTGCTGTGTGAGGCTGAGGTGCTGGGTCCTGCCGGAGAGGTGACGGGGAGCTGAGTTGTGGCCATCGAGGAGAGAGGAGGTTGGTTGAGAGAGGGGCCCAGATCAGTTGCTGTGGTGGAGGAGGGGGTAAATCAGGGAAGGCCTTAAAGAAGAGGTAACATCTGAGCCCAGGGGAGGTGAGATTTGGAAATTGCAGGCTCAGCAAGAGTGGAAGGAAGATAGGGACCTGGCAGAAGTGTTGTTTGGGCTGACGCAGGAGAGAGAAGAGAGAAGGACGGCGGACAGAAACATAGGGTGAGGGGGGATCACAGAGGCCTGGGTGCCCAGGGCCAGGAGGTCCTTGTAAAGGGGTGGGGGTCACTGAAGTTTCTGGGTGGCTCAATCTGAGGAGACAAAGGACAGCCGTGAAGACAGGAGCAGGTCAGTTAAGGGCCTGGGCCCCAGTCAGATGGAGTGGATTTGAGTCCTCCACACACTTCGGGCAAGTCATTTCACTTTCTGAGCCTCAGCTTTCTTCTCTGTTCGGTGGGGTCAGTGTAGAGTGAAGTAAGTTCAGGAAGAGAAAACACATAGCCCAGTGCCTGGTTCCTAGTAAGCTGTGGCTGAACAGGAGGTGCTTTTGGTCACACAGAGGCCATTGGGGAAGGCCAGGAAGGGGTGGGACGTAGGGACTTAGGTGGAGGTCCAAAGGTGGCAGCCAGAGGAGGGGGGGCTGTCCTCATGGAGCTGGGCCTCTTGTCTGTCACCAGTCCTGGCCAAGTTCTGTACCCTGAGGCACTGACCAGGAGGTAAAGGCCCACTCTGGCCCTCCACCACCCCAGGGACAGCAGCGGGGCTGGGGGCTCCTGGAGAGGCAGCTGGTAGGCCATGAGGGCGGAAGGTGTGAAAGTAGGCTCCGGGGGCCACTGTAGAGACACACGTAAGCACTTCCTGCCGCCGCCACCTGGGGCCAAACGGGACCTGCCCAGCGGGGACCCAGAGGGCACCCAGCGGGCACCCAGTGGGCCTGTGCTTCGGAGTCTTCATTTGCGAGTCTCAGATTCCTCCTCTGGCCCGTAACCTTCCCTCCCTTCCAGGGTGGTCGGAACGGGTGTTAATGGCAGTCACCTGGCATGTAGCAGGTGCTCGGTTTGGGCCCACAGAGCTCTCTGGTGGGGGGGGGGGGGGGGGGCCCTGGCAGGGGGCGGGGGCTGGAGGGTTGGGCAGGACAGAGGCCACGTCCCAGCCTCGGAGGACAAAGCAAGACTTTTGATGGCTAGAAAAGGATACTTCAGGTGGAGGGGCTGGCCTGTTGTCGGGCGCAGCTTCCCGCCTGTCCCTTGAGTGGGGGAATGACACGCTCAGGTCTGTGTTTTAGAGAGCTCACTCTGGCTGCAGTGTGGAAGAGCTGACTCTGGGAGAGGCTGAAGGCAGGGAGTCCAGTTAGGAGGCTGGTACCGTAGCCCAGGTGAGCTGCGGGGGTCCCCAGACAGAAGAGGTAGAAGCCTCGCCCGGCGGGGGGGCGAAAGCCTAGGACAGCGTCCAGCTCACCAGTGAGTCCCGAAGTAGGAGGGAGAGGCCGGTGCCGGCAGCTGTGGTCCAAGGTGCCCAGAGGCGGGCAGGCTGGCACTGCGGGCTGGCTCTGACCGCCCTGACCGGCTCTAAGTGCTGTCCCGGGGGCAGCCAAGGGGCCTCCCTGGAGAGGGTGGGGTCCGGCCTTCCCCTCCTGGTTTCCTGGGAGATCCACCCCCCCCCCCCCCCCCCCCCCCCCCCCCCCCCCCCCACCCCCACCACCCCCCTCATCACCGCCTCCATCACCACCTCTCACCTGCAGGCATTTGTGGGGTGAGATTCAAGGGGCTGAGGTGAGGCAGGCCCCCCCCACCCTGATTCCAGCATTGGCTGGCCCGGCTGTGTCCACTGCCCCCGGCATGAGCCTTTGCCCCCCTTCCCTGTCCCCCAGAACTGCCTTAAGAGGCCCCCGCCAGCCTTCTGGAGGTCCAGTGCCTCCCTGACCAGCCCTCCCTGTGTTTCTTCCCCCTGCTGCAGATGGCGGTGGGCCCCCCCGACTGCCCTGTGGGAGGGCCGCTGACCTTCCCGGGCCGGGGCTCGGGGGCCGGGGTGGGGGCAGCCCTGGCTCCACTGCCTCCACCCAAGATGCCTCCCCCCACGATCCTGAGCGCCGTCCCTCGGCAGATGTTCAGCGATGCGGGCAGCGGGGACGATGCCCTGGACGGGGATGACGACCTGGTGATCGACATCCCGGAGTGACCCCATCTCTGGCCGAGCCCACGCCCTGTGCCTGACGCCAGCACACACGAGCCCCCAGCTTCCGCAGAGACGTTTATTGACGCCCAGTTGCCATGCTGCGGCCACTGACACAATCAGAAGAGGCGTAAACATGCACGGACGTCCCCCGGGAGGTGGGTCCCCACGGGGGTGGGGGTGAGGGGGAGGGCAGAGGCCCTGCCCTCCCGTCCTGGCCCCATCCAGGGGACAGTTCTTTAAATGAGTGGCCGGGAGCATCTGCCACCTCTGGGAGAGGCAGAGAGCCTGCGGTGGCCCCCGCATTTAAAAGGGCAGCTGTACAGGGCTAGGTTGGTTGGTTGGTTTTTAACGAAGATTCTGTATTAAAGTAGTGGCTCTTTTTTTCGTTTTTGTTTTTTGTCCTTCTCTTTTTTGGAGACATTCCCCTCCTCCGAACCCCCCCCCGCCCCCGAATCCGACCTCCTCCCTGTGGGCCGAGGGGGACGGGGCAGCCTGGAGGGGCAGGAGAGAGGCGCGGCGGCCCCCTGTGGGCGTGCCCGGGCCGGGTTTTTGCATATCTGCGTGGGAGCGAGTCAGGCAGGAGGAAGTTTGCATATGTGAATATAGATGTCCACGGCTCCTCAGGACAGGACAGACCCACGGTCACGGAGACTCACAAAATAAGACAGGTAGTGGGGGGCGGGGCATCCACCCCGTGTAAACGTGCAACACACTCGTGCGGAGGTTGGGTCCTGGCCCCGCGGGGCCCATGCCGGGCAGCTGCCGCCTGCTCAGGCTGAGGGCAGGGCCCCGGCGGCGGGGGGCAGCTCACTGGTCAAGGTGTGCCAGCGCTCCAGGGCCGCGTCCGGCTGCTGCAGACAGTCACTCCAGTGCTTCCGGGCCTCACCCCGGGCCCCAGGTCCCAGGGACACGCCACCTGGGAGGCAGCAAGAGGCTGGCACCGTCAGGGCCCATCTCTGCCGGCCTGCCACCCCCGACCCCCCATCATAGGCTCCACCCGGCAGCCTCATCCCTCACCGATGAAGTCGTTGGATTTGCCGATGTCGTAGTCCCACACTGTGACTTCCAGAGTCTTGGTGGCCAGAGCAGAGAGCTCCATCTCGTAGAAGAAGTCCTGGGACAGGGCAGGCCACAGCTTCCGTGAGGCCCCGGCCCCGGCCCCAGCCTCCACCGCCCCCCCGCCCCGCTTACCTCATTAAATTCCGGATTAAGAGTCTTCTTCTTCACGCACGTTTTATGCTTGGATTTCTTATCCACGTCAGGCCTCAGGTACCTGTAGAGGAGGGGGGCGGTCAGGGACACATCAGGCCGCGGAGGAGGTCAGGCAGGCTCCCAGGGGAGGGAAGGGCGGGCTCACGTCTTGACGTAGGGGTCGGAGTAGCCGTTGACATCCATGGCAGCCAGGTGGGCGCAGCGCACGATGCCCACCAGCAGCCCCCGGCGCCGAGAGCTGTAGCTGAGACTCAGCAGGATGCGCCCGCGCTCTTCCAGCAGCCCAGGCCCCTGCTCGGCCTGCTCCAGCTGTGGGGCCGACTCGGGATCAGCCTGCATCCCCGCCACCTCCCACCCAGACGCGGTCCCTGTGAGGTTACCTCACCTCCTTCAGGTAACAGGAGATGCCCCTCAGTGCCGCTGACATGGAGGAGGGTGAAGCCAGCTGAGGGGACGAAGAGAAGGTTCTGGAAACCTGGCCTCCCCAGGGCTGCCGCCCCGCCCCGCCCCGCCCCCACCCCCACCCCCCAGCCCCTACACAGACCGGGACCTGGCGCTCAAGGCAGATGTTAAAATGTTTCTTCTGTGAAGGCTTGAGGCGGCGGAGGGGTACTCGGATCTCCCCGATGAATTCATTGTGGCTCAGCTTGTCCTCGTCACAGACGGAGATCCTGGCGGGGAACTGCAGGGTCAGGGCCCCCTGGCGTACCTGAGCCTGCTCCGGTGGGGGAGAAAGGTCCTCCAACCGAACGCGGAGCACCCGAGGCCAATCCCAGCTCTGCCCTACTCTACGCCTCGCCTGTCGCATGGGCTGTGCGGCGAGCCCCGGCCCGGAACGTGAAGAGGATGCTGTGATCGGCCCTGTCCCGCTGCCCCGCCCCCTACAGCTGCCCCGGCCACCCCTGGGCCATCGGGACCCAGGCAGCTACTTCAGGAAGCCCCCACGAATCCTGAGGACCGCCACCCTCCACTGCCTCCATTCAGAGCCTGGGGACGGGATCCAACTGAACAATGTGCCCAGAGCAGGCATTGGTGGGTGTGGGTCCCGGACTCCCGTGTGCAAGGGCTGGAAGCGCCTTGAGGAGCCTTGGGCAGTCGGGCGAGGATCCCGCGCCTCCTCCGGCACTCCTGTCCTTTGCCTGGAGCAGGGCACCAGCCTGGGAGAGACACACAGGAGCCCAGCGATTAAGAAATGACAGCTTATAGGGGTGCCATGGTGGCTCAGTCCATGAAGCGTCTGCCTTCGGCTCAGGTCGTGGTCCCAGGGTCCTGGGATCGAGCCCCGCGTCGGGCTCCCTGCTCCGCGGGAAATCCGCTTCTCCCTCTCCCCCTGCTTGTGTGTACGCTCTCTCTCTGACAAAATCTTTAAGAAATGATTGCTTTCAGTTCTGTTCATCCCCTTATGCAGCTCCCTGCGCTTCCTTCTGTCCTGACCCTCCTGAGGAGCTGTCATGGAGGGCTGTTAATTTCCTTCCTCTGCCACCTACTAGCTACCTATGTGACCTTGGCCAAGTCACTCCACCTCCCTATGCCTCAATTCCCATCTATAAAACGGAGATAATGAGCACCCACCTCCTACAACTATCAGGATCAAGGGAAATAAATGTAAAGGCGCATAACCCAGGGCTGGGCACCAGTGCGCACTCGGCTACTCAGGCCCAATGCGCTCACATCTGAGAGATGGGCCAGCCTTCCCGGTGTCTTGCCTCTGTCCACCCTGCCCCCCGCCCCGATCCCCAGTCAGCCTCACAGCCAGCAGAATGATCTCCAAAATCCAAGGCTGACCAATCCCCCCCGCCCCGGTGCCAACCCTCCCCCAGCTTCCCCATTGCCAAGAACACAGCTAAAGGCCTCACAAGCCTGGGCTGTGCTGCCCTTCAGTCGGGCCAGGGATTACAGTCCCCACAGCTCCACCTCCTGGGATGATGGAGCAAGTTCCCTGTCCCTGAAGACTTCACTCCTTAGCACGGGATGTTAGGGGGACACAGGCATGAGAATGGGCAGACCTCTGCTACATAGGTCTGACATGTTGGGGGGGGGTAGGGTTGGGGAGGGCGCTCGGCAACCAGGGAAAGCTTCCAGGAGGAGGCACGGCGGGGAGCACTTTCCATGGAAGAGACACAACAGGTAAAGGTCAGGAGTCTTGAAGCTGACCAGCAGTAGGAGGAGATATTTGGAGGGCCTGCTGCCGAAGGGGGATGGGGAGCCAGTGATTGTTCTTGAGCATCTGAGAAGGGCTTAATGGGAGGCAGATCAACCAACCAAACAAGGTGGCAATGACAGCTCCCAGAGGAGGTGCTGAGCTGGAATCCTCAGTAACAAGGGGAATGGAGCCCTCACCTGAGCACCTTGTGGGTGATGTCATCATCCGTGATCCCACTGTATGTCAGATCCTCATTCCACACGGGATTCAGCGTGTTCCTCTGAGTCTTAGTTTTTAGCTTATTGGCCTGAGGTGTGGGGACGAAGGTTCTCAGTCCACGTCCCCCAGACCCATGGAGGCTGAAGGCAGGGGAAGGTTGGGGACAGACCCACAAGCCGGCTCAGGCTGGGGGAGGGAAGAGGCCGTTACCTTGCAGGCCCCAGGCAGCAGGTGTAGCTTGACATAGGGGTCAGCCAGGCCATTGAAATCCATGGGCTTGAGGCCCTGCAGGGGAGGGGAGGGGAGGGAAGAGGGCTGCAAGCTCCC